TTGAAGCAAGAGTCAAACCATTGGAGACAAATGTGTAATACCCAAAAAGGAATGACTAAATGAATGTGCAAACATATATACATATACACATATCTGTAGTTTGACTCAATAGTAATAGCTAATTTGTGACATTAAAAAGAAAAAAAAATACAATTAATATATCACACAACACTAGCATACAAATTAACAGAAGGTGATTGGTGTTCAAGTATTTTTAGGTCTATGTTCTTAGGTTCAAAATACAGGATATTGCTTATTTTTGTCCCTTTTAGGCACATGAATATTAAATTTCCTTTTTGAGTGTGTACATGCTAACTTTCTTTTCTAAGATCAGAAAGGGAAAATGTGTTCCAAATTAGTAAGTAAGGAAAAAAGTGAAATGAGAAATTAAAAATCTACCCAAAAGATTTTAAGGAAGAAGAGGAAGAAGGAGAGGAATAATACAGAAAAGGAACAAAGAGCAGAAGGGTGGGTGTATAAAGGAAGATGAACACAGTGCAAGCAGCATAAACTACTTGAAAATTCAAAATGAAATGTCAGGTACAGATTTCAATACGTTTTTACAGTGGCGATGGAAACATAAAACTACCAGAAAATGACAAAGACTATCAGATTTGTTCAAAAGAGCATTTGTATACTATTTGTAATAGATCTTCCTAAAACTTAAGAAAAAATAAAAGTATGGGAAAGTATGGATTGTGATGGTGTGTGCGTAGTTGCACACATCAACGTACTTAAGTCTATCAAATACAATAGAGAGGGAAAGTCTCAGAAGAATGCACGGAAGATTATGCTGTTTACAGGAAGTGACAAAGATAAAACCAAATAATACACAAATTAAGAAGACAAATATGGGGCGCCTGGGTGGCTCAGTGGGTTAAGCTGTCCTGATCAGCTAGGTCACTGAGACATCTCACTGTCCGATCGTGAGTTCGGGGTGAGCCCCGGGGTTTCGAGCTCTAAGAGGCTGTTGGCCTCGGAGCCTGGAGCCTGAGCCCATTTCCTGTCTCCCCTCTCTCTGCCCTCCCCTCTCATGCTTGTCCATCTCTCTGTCTCAAAAATAAATAAAACGTTAAAAAAAAAAAAAAATTTTAAAAAAAAAGAAGACAAATATGGTGAAACTATAATGAAAAGAAAAAACAAAGATAACCCCTAAATTCAAAACAGCACTAATCACAGTATAGCGGGAGAACAGGGCATAGAATTAAGCAGGGATGCATGGAAGCTTCCAAGTTACAACCTTATTTCTATCTTAGCTTCACGGGTAGGCAAGTGGGTGCTTGTTTTTCTCTCATCACAATGTCTTTACTACATGTTTAATGTTTTACGAAAATATAATTTTAGGGGCGCCTGGGTGGCTCAGTTGGTTAAGAATCCGACTTTGGCTCAGGTCATGATTTCACAGTTTGTGGGTTTGAGCCTTGTGTTGGGCTCTGTGCTGACAGCTCGGGACCTGAAACCTGCTTCAGGTTCTGTGTCTCCCTCTCTCTACCTCTCCCCAGCTCTCTCTCTCACTCTCAAAAATAAACATTAACAAAAATTTTTAAGAGATAAATAAAAATACATAAAAATTTAAATAACTATTAGCAACTTCAAAATTATTGGTCTTGACTTTTTTCTCCAGATCATGTTAGTATCAGTGAGTATGCTGATCTCATTGCTTGCCACAAACTTCTTTGTCTCTCACACAAGTGGTATAAGGCACAAAATATGTGTCAGTTCTAAAACGAAGCCCTTCTATCAACTTTGTGTTTAAGCGCAGAAAAACTAGATTCTAAACATGGCACTGATCAAATGGAATAAAGATCCACAAAGGCTGCTCAGTTGCTTTACGGTAAACATTTTACTGCACGTTTTTCTTAAAGTGATTTTTTGGAAGTTACAGTTATTATCTTAATCAAACCTAGTTCCAAAACCCCTTAGAAATTTAATGAAAAGATAATGTTAGCAAAAAAAAAAAAAAAAAAAAAAAAAAAATTTGTAAACTTCAAAATGCACATGTTAACTATGAGTAAAGGAAAATAATGCCTAAGATTAACACGAGACCTGATAGATTGGATTTTCTGAGCCAGAAATCGTGCCCTTGACAGCTACATCAAATTGAGAAAATGAAGATACATTCTGTAATTCATTTGCTATCTGCATAGATGAGTATGGACGAAAATGCTTGTTATCAATCATAATAATGTTAGTGTCTACTTTTTTACGTTTCCACCTCAACGTGTTCAATAGCTGAAACATAATTGTTGCCTATGTCAAGATCCACTAAAAGTTATAATTGACAATGTGAAGAAGCTGGTCTTTTCCTAGTGTTCCAAAACTAAAGCACTGTGTCTTTTAGCTTAAAACTGTCAACGAGAATATTGAATAATCAATAAAACTTCAAAACAGAAGAACTTTGTGGTCTTCAAATCAACTCTTCATAAAAGGTGGCAAATAACATGATATTTAATGCACTGGTTTTCACATAATTCACTGTCTGGAGGGTAGAAGGTTGACATGGCTCATAATTGGTAGGTAGCGTTTCAGAAGCAGATAAATGATTCTGCAAGTATTGCATATCTAGATGGGGGTGGGGTGGAGGGAAGGGAGGTTTTCTTCTTGATCCTTGACTTTTTATTTAAATAAAACTCAATCCCAAACCAACATTGGAGAACCATCATTAATCAGTTCCCATGTTTCTTTTTTCAAATTTATTCAAAGACATTGAAGAATTTTAACTCTGATTTACTCAATAATACTACAGGGCTAACAATGATCTCAAAAGATTCTTACAAGAATTTTAATTATTTTTCTCTTGAAATTGAGTCACACACTATACATCAAAAAATATGAAAAACACACTTTACCAGCAGACACAAAACTAATAGAAAAGTCCAAAGATTTGAACATAGGCATAAATTCAACTTTTACACATCCAAAGAAGCCATTCCACTAATTGGAGCACTGCACACAGAAATAATCTTGAGTATCTTCTCAATTTTCTCTCTACATCAAGTGCCACAATTTCAGAAAAACTTCTCCAATGGTAAGATTTCTATCATTTATAGGGAAACATCGATAGCTTGTGGATTCCTGGTAATATAGCAGGTAATATAGCAGTTTAAGGCGAAATCACATATAAATGTATCTGCTGTAATATACATGAATTCATACATAAAAGTTTTCCTTTTGCTATCATAGTCACCTAATCAAATTATGAAGATAGCAGGAAGGGTCTGCTTCTAATCAAATTGAAAAACCACGGAAACAACCATTGCTCAGTGGTTGCCAGATAAACTAAGACATGGAGTGCATCTCTTCAGTCAACCCCAAAATATCCTTTTGCTACATTTAAACTCCATAAGTACAGGACCTGGATCTGCTTTGCTATTTACCCAAGCCCCATAAGACAGGGCTTTGTAAGTATTAGGTGCTCAGTAATTATTTTTTTAAATGAATATATTAAATAGGTACAGATTCAACTGGAAAGCAGAGTTCTTCATGTATGATTATACCTGCCAAATAAATTCTCAATTCAACTCAGTGTCTAACAATAGCCAAGGTAAAACTGAAGGAAGCTCAAACTTCATTGTTTCAATCGACAAGTCTTCACTGAGTACTTTTTATGTACTGTGTGCTATGAGTGGTAAAGAGAAGTAAGTAAGACATAGCAAGTCCTGGTCTCCTTCCCCTCATTAAGCTTACAGCCTAGAAAACAGGCTGGACGTGGGGAAATACGGAAAAACAAAGATAAAGTTGAAATATACTTTGTTTCCTCTTCATACTCCTCAGTTAAACCTCACTCACTTCATGTCTCAACAGGTAAGGTCTTTTCGTTTTAAATAGGTGTACTGTGAAGGATTTTTTCATACTGTAGCCAAACTTCAGAAATGTCCAAAAAAGTAGTAACAGAGCAGACATCAAAGAGATTCTATTACATATTATTAACCTCTGTAGTCATTCTAGCCCTGACAATTATTTATATACACACACACACACTTTTCAAAAAATTTTTTAATGTTTATTTATTTTTGAGAGAGAGAGAGAGACAGACTGTGCAGGCGAAGAGAGAGAGGGAGACACAGAATCTGAAGCAGGCTCCAGACTCCGAGCCGTCAGCACACAGCTTGACATGGGGCTCGAACTCACGAAGCATGAGATCATGGCCTGGGCCAAGGTCAGACACACAACTGACTGAGCCGCCCAGGTGCCCCTCAAACACACATATTTTACACACATCTAATACACAGTATTTTCTTATGCAAAAACAAGCATTCATTTATTATACAAAAGAAGCCAAAACTGATCTACCTCAGACCCTTACAGCTCTGAAATTTTATGACTACTCAGACATTTCATAACAACTTCTGCTTGAACTTTTTCAAGAATATTCTGAGCCTAAAAGTCTAAAACTTGATTTATAGAGACATCTCTATTAGAGTTGCTGGATCCAGGACACCTAGTTAAATTTGGATTCCAGATAAACAAAATCTCACAGTGTCCGTATATCTGAAATTCAGATTTCACTCGGCATCTTGTATTTTGACTCACTACATCTGGCAATACTAACCTATGTGCTCCTATAAAGACATAATTTCCAATAAAGGATGAGTTAAATAATAGTATTTCTTTGTGTGTCAAACAAAAATCAGCCACTATATATACAATACCAAAATTCACATGTAACTCAGCCATGTTACATTGATAGTTTTTGATCATGATGATTTTCTTTTAAAAAACACCATTTCTTCACATTTTTAAGGAAAAAAAGAGTAAATTTGTTCTTGTTTTTAAGTCCCCAGGCTATGTATCACTTGGTAATAAACACAAAAGTACTGATGACATTATATTACATTATGCATACAAACATTAGATACTCAGTTTTTACCTTGAGACACCATTGAGGTATACCACCCAGGAACAGACACTATAAAGAAAGTGTTAAATGAAAATAACAGATTAAAGACATCTGTTTAATTTACTAACATGCCCTGATGATGTTCAGATAGATGAATTACCTGACAGGATTACTAGTCAAAGATACGCGGAGGGACTCCAGGCATGTGACAATGTCATCTGCAGACCCCATTTTCAGTTCATGGATGAATTCCTGAGGTGAGATCTGTCGCCTACTCTTAAGACTTCCCTGTAATTTAAAGGAAAAAAAATTTATCTTCATTAAAGCACTATCAATTACATTAATCCTATCTTTCATATAGCAGCTGCATGCAACTACTCCAAGCAGTCTTACTTTGCAGGAATGATTCCTCTGCTCACAAATATAAATTATAATCTACGATATTCACCAAAGATGAAACACCAAAAGGTTTGCAAATTAAAAGGACTTTCTCAGGGTGCCTGGGTGGCTCAGTTGGTTAAGTATCTGACTTCGGCTCAGGTCATGATCTCACAGTTGTGAGTTTGAGCCCCACGTCGGGCTCTGTGCTGACAGTTTGGAGCCTGGAGCCTGCTTCAGATTCTGTGTCTCCCTCTCTCTCTGCCCCCTTCCCGGCTTGAATTCTGTCTTGCTCTCAAAAATAAATAACCCCGGCTTGCATTCTGTCTTGCTCTCAAAAATAAATAAACACTAAAAAATGTATTTTAAAAGTAAAAGGACTTTCTCAAATGCAAAATATCATGGAAAACAATGAAGTGTGGAGACATACATATCATAGGAAATATCTGAAAATAGAGTAATCTATTTTAGGCACTTGCAACATAAAAATCAAAACTCAATACAAGAAAAGCCCTGTTAAAATTAATCTTCTAAGCACCACAAAAAAGCCTTGAAGCTACTGACTCAACTACCATTAAGTGCCTAGTTCTAAGCACAATATATAAAGAGATGATCAAAACCTAAGTCTGGAAGGAGAAATGCAAGCACAGTAGTAATACTTTCTGGTGAATCTAATTCCTGTAATACAGTACCTACCTAACGACCCAGAGGAGGAATCCCTAACTTGGTGAGCAGATGAGGGAAGCCCGAGTAAAAGCGCGAAGGCAAGTCAGTTAAGGGGACTGAGAATTAGGAACTTCTTCCAGACTGAAATAGGGCACATGTGTACAACCACAAAGAAAGCCAGAAGCACCTATAGTCAAAGATATCAGCCAGATCAGGGAGGGACAGAGCACCGCTAATCAATCAGATTTTCCAAGGCAGTTTTGGAAGGATCACTCTGGCAGCAGTATAAAATGCAGATTAGAAGAGTTGGAGTTCATTCATTATTCAACATTTCGTGCCTACTAAGTGTCAGACACTGTTTGAAGTGCTATACAGAGAACAGTCAATAAGAGACAAACATCCCTAGGTACATGGAGCTTTCTTCTCCATGGAGAAGAATAAAGCCAGGCAGTCAATAAATGAACTAAGCAGTTAAAGTAGTTGCTTTGTAGCTATGGAAAAGTGCTACAGAGAAACATAAAAGCAGAGAAGTAGAATAAGGAGCACAGGAGGTGGTTTGCAATTTCAAACAGTGTGGTCACAGAAAGACTCGCAGAAGAATCCGAAGGCCTCAAACTTGAGTATTAGAATAAAGGTGTGAAGGACAGAGAAGTAACCATACCTGTAACTGAAAAGTTGTAATGGAAGGGACTGTACCCTCAGAGGCCACCCAAAGAACTCTGATTTTACTTTCAGATGAGAAGCAACAGAAGCAGCAAGACCAGTTAGAAAGGCACAAACATAGTCCAGATGGAAAAAATGAAGCAGCATGAACAAAGTCCAGAACTGAATCTACTTAAATTACGGATTACACATCCAAGGGGAAGGAATTATATATGTTCAAGAGCAGATTAGTTGGGGTGTCAGGAAATCAGATCCACTTTTTTTTTAATTTTTTATTATTAATTTGCCATAATATTGTCCAAGAAAACACTTCCAATAACATAAAACAAATTAGCACAGGAAAGACAGAGGATTTTCATCAATAGCAGAGTGGTTATTTACCAAAAAGAAAAAAAAAATTGAGCAAAATCTACAAAAATAAATTTGAAAGGAGAAATGAAATGATTTAGTGAAAATAAACACTTTTGAAATCAGTGACTGTTACGTATCATTAAAAAGAATACATTCAACTTGTACTGACAGCCATTTTCGGTATCCTTTTCTGCTTTAAATTACTTAAGTATTGCCTGTTCAACACAGAAAATTTGGAAATCAGAAAAGCACTAGGAAAAAAAAAAGTGCCTCAAAATGACTCTTAATTTGATATTTCTCTTTTAAGTGTTTTTTCTCATTTAGAATATGTAATATTCCCTATACATTCATAAACACATGTACTTTACTTTCAAAAATATTATGTCATACATATTGTTCAGTAGGCTACTTTTATCTTTAGTAATATTTCATGAATATATCCCACATCTTAAATGAAAACTTTTTTCCTGGCTACAGACTGTTAACATACCATTACTTACATAATTTAGACCCATATTACTGGGCACGTAGGTTGCCCAATATACTTTAGTGGTATCTTAATTTGTCAAGTTTCCTGTGCATACTGTCAATATTTTTTTAATGCTTACTTAGAAAGTAAGTGAGCACACGCATGCAAGCAGGGAGAGAGAGAGAGAGAGAGAGAGAGAGAGAGAGAGAGAGAGAGAGAATCCCAAGCAGGCTCCTCACTCTCAGCACAGAGGCCCATGCAGGGCTTGATCTCATGAACTGTGAGATCATGATTTGAGCCAAAATCAAGTCAGATGCTTAACCAATAGAGCCACCCAGGTGACCCATCAGGTCATTATTTTTATCAAAATATGTATCAACAGAAGTTAAACTAGATCTTTTTGTAGTACTTCCTGAATTTATCACTGAAATAATTATGATATGGAGGGATCAAAATACACCAAAGCTGAGATCAACTGGTTCCTTTCAACAAAAAATGGGTAAACACATATAGTCAATACTTTTAAAATGTAAGAATAAAAAGCAATAAATGCATTTGAATAAAAATAAAAGTGATTTAGGGGCCCCTGGGTGGCTCAGTCGGTTAAGCAGCCAACTTCGGCTCAGGTCATGATCTTGCAGTTTGTGAGTTCGAGCCCCGCGTCAGGCTCTGTGCTGACAGCTTGGAGCCTGGAGCCTGCTTCGGATTCTGTGTTTCCCTCTCCCTCTCTCTGCACCTCCCCAGCTTGCACTCTGTCTCTGTCAAAAATAAATAAATTTTTGGGGCGCCTGGGTGGCGCAGTCGGTTAAGCGTCCGACTTCAGCCAGGTCACGATCTCGCGGTCCATGAGTTCGAGCCCCGCGTCAGGCTCTGGGCTGATGGCTCGGAGCCTGCAGCCTGTTTCCGATTCTGTGTCTCCCTCTCTCTCTGCCCCTCCCCCGTTCATGCTCTGTCTCTTTCTGTCCCAAAAATAAATAAAAAACGTTGAAAAAAAAATTTTTTTTAAAAAAATAAATTTAAAAAAAATAAGTAAATAAAAAATAAAAGTGATTTAAAAAAAAAAAAAAAGTAATCACCTGCCCCACCACTTAACCCTATCTTTCAGAGGCCATCACTTTTAATTCCCTTAACTGTTTCTTCTGATGGTTACTTAATATGTCCAAATAACATGTTTACTCCGATTTTCTTAAACTTCTAAGTTTTCAATATTACCTTTGACTTCCATTATGAAAGATAAGGAGCTAGTTATATTAAAACAATGGAATTTGTATTCTTCCATCTTCTGACTATAATTATAACTAAGCTCAGTTGAACCAGAAGATGCCAAGTCCATGACATGGAAGCTGACTGAATCCAGGCTCTATGAGATCCAGAGAGATTTTTGGATCACTGAACTTAGTAATTCTTTAGTTTGTTTCATGACACAAAATAGGACATCATATGCCCCCATTCATAAAGTCTTCCAGCTACTATAATTCCCATGTTGGTCAAACCAACTCATTGGTGCCCCCACAACAGTGGAGATGCGAGAAGCATGTTGGATCTTCCCATTCCTATTCAGTATTTTACTGGAGGTACGAACTAGTATGGCAAGGCAATAACGACAGCAACAATAGAGATTAGAATAGAAGAAGAGGATAGTCTCTACTTGCAGATGAAATTATCTACATGAATTCATCAAGATCACAGAATAAAAGCTCAACCTTTAAAAAATATTTTTATGTCTAAATATTACTAGTAAGTGAGAAATGAAATTTTACAATTTAACACTTGAAATAGCATCAAAAAAAGCCCTCACAAAATAATGAGGAAAATTTTTAACAAAAGAAGATAATACCTATATGGAGAACTACAAATATTGTGAAGAGGTATTAAAGAGGACCTAAATCAATGATCTTATGCCAAGTTCATGGGTCAGAAGGCTCGGTATTATTAAGACATTGTTAAGAAATACATTTTCTGAAGGACAATGTATACATTCAATATATTCACCATCAGAATCCCAGCAAGTTTTTCAGAAATTGAGAAGCAGCTTCTAAAATTAAATGGAAAAAAAAAAATAAAATTTATATGGAAATGCAGGAAACCTAAAGTAGAGCAATTTAAAAGAATAAAGTTGGGGGGATTTTTCCAATTTCACGATTTACTATAAAGCTACTAAAATCAAGTTAGAATAGAAGCATCAATAGAAAAGAATCCAGAAATACACTTGCACCTATGTAGTCAATGATTTTCAACCAAGGTGTTAATGTAATTTGATGGGGTAAGAAGAATCTCTTCAACAAATAGTGCTGGAACAACAGGACATCCAAATGAGAAAAAGTGAACCTAGACCTTAGACCTAAATGTGCAAGCTAAAACTTAATGTCTATAAGAAAACATAGATGAAAAGCTTCACTACCTACGGGAAGGCAAAGATTTCTTAGGACAAGAGGCACTAACTAGAAAATTATTCATAAATTAGACTTCATCAAAATTTAAACCTTCAATTTTTCAAACAACTCTTAAGATAGTTTTATTGGGACAATGAAAAGGAAGCCACAGGCTAGGGGAAAATATCCATAATACAAGTCAAGAAGTGTGCAGTCCGAGTCTACATAACGTAACAAGCTAAATGAGCCTGTTACTGGTTCCTGAATGGTGGCAGAAAACATGAGTCCGCAGTTAGAGACAAAGGGCTGTATTATGCCTGTGTTGGTTCCCTGACCCACCAAGTCCCAGAGGGGCAACACAGGGCTCCCTGATGGATGATCAACGCCTC